GTCTGTCTGTTGCTCCATTGCATGTAGTAGGCACCATCTCACTGTGTCTTTCACCGATAGCTTTACCCTAACTTGCAGCAGGAACACTCGACTAGAGTGCACTCCCTTTAGCTTTTGGGCTGTCAGCTTCAAACATTTTGCTGTACACGTTATGAACTGGAGAATGCATTGTCAACTTGACAACAGGTGACCATCCTCCAAAAGAGATTTAAACAGTGAAGAAAACTTTTGCTATTATCTTCCTAACTACCTTTTCTTCTTCCTTGGTTTGAACCCAGATTTCCAAACCCTTTCATTCATCATGGGACTGAAGGACTTGCTGATTGCATGCCGATTTGATTTGACACCAGACACTATAGATTTATTCACCCCTAAGATCCTTATGACCGGGCTGGAGAGATGGCTCAGAGGTTAAGAGCGTTGCCTGCTCTTCCAAAGGTCCTGAGTTCAATTCCCGGCAACCACATGGTGGCTCACAACCATCTGTAATGGAGTCTTCTGGCTTGCAGGCATACACACAAAGAGAATATTGTATACATAATAAATAATAAAATATTTTAAAAAAAAAAGATCCTTATGACCTGGACTTCCTTCTGACCTGAAGCAACTTTTTGCAGCTTAGGAGTGAGCCAGCACCCAACTAGCTCTCACAGAACTGGACAGGCAGGCACTGGTCACCATTCTGAGGCTCTTGTCACCATTTCTTGGCACGCAGCTTGCATCGCTTGCTGCTGAGTGGGTTGCACAGTTCAGTTCTGTCCGTGGGCAGCTTCATGTAGATGAGAGACATACTCATCCTGACCCAACTTTAATCCTAGCACTTGGCCTCTCCTGGCTGTGACACACTTTTTTTTTTGTTTTTTTTTTTGTTTTTTTTCGAGACAGAGTTTCTCTGTGGTTTTGGAGCCTGTCCTGGAACTAGCTCTTGTAGACCAGGCTGGTCTCGAACTCACAGAGATCGGCCTGCCTCTGCCTCCCGAGTGCTGGGCTTCAGATAATATCTAGCTTTTGTGCTCAACTCAGCTTCTTGTATTTTTGTGATTGACACTGTTGGCAATGATGAACTGGCTCACCGACTCAGCTTTTGCTTACTAAAAATGTCTTTATTTTGCTTGACGATAGAAAGGTATTTTTAAACACAGAATTCCAGGCTGGCTTTTTTTCTTTCTCTCTTTAATTTTGAGGATGCCACCAGCTATCTAGCTAGCATAGTCAGAGGCCAATGAGTAGTTGGTGGCCATCAAGGAGTTGACAGCTATCAGTCACCAAGAAATCAGCAGGTACTGAGAACTTGTTGGCAGTCACTGAGGCGGCTCTGGTCATTGAGAAATTGGTTGTCCCTGAGAGTTTGGCTGTCATTGAGAAATCATCTGCCAGTCATGGAAAATTTGGCTGCTAGTCACTGAGAATTTGGTTCTCGTTGAGAAGTGGACTACCATTGAGAAGCCAGCTGGTATTCACCTAGGAGCTGGCTGACAGCTATCAGACCCTAGCCAGTGGGCACTCAGCAAACACCTGGGCAGGCTTGTGCCTTGGGAGCGCACACATTTTTCCTGGAAACCCTTGTTTTCCTTTCAAATTATTTTACATTGTGTGTTTGTGTGGCGTGTGAGTGTGAAACCGTGCCAGGCACACATGGGAACTTGTGGGAGTTTTTCTCTCCTTCGACCATGTGGGTCATGGGAGGTCAAACTTGGATCATCAGGCTTAGTGACAAGCACCTTTTCCAAAACCTGGCTTGCTTGGTGTTTGTTCGATTGGGTGCTCACTGAGATGCCTCTTTTATGCCTGCATTTATAGATTTTGGGGAAATTATGGTTATTATCTTGTCAAATATTTTTTTCTGTCCCTGAAAGGTTATCTGACCATGTTTCTCAGGCTACTCATTTCTTTTCTCTGTATTTCCTGCCCTTGCTTGCTGGGACTGCACATTGCTAAGCTCCAGCCAGGTTCCTGTTTCTTCCTTCAGGACACCATCCAATAGGATTTTCTCAGGTGTAACATGGTACGCAAGAGTTTGTCTCTTCCAGTGTGCATCTCACAGATCCTTTCCAAGTGGCTGGAAAAGAAGGGGACCAAATGTGGAATAGCTGCGGAGCTGGTCAGTAACTGCTTAGCCTGGTCAAAGTCGTGCTTCAATTCCCAGACCTAAAGTGGGCACCACTCTCAGATCTGCCAGCTTTCCCAAGTAGGCTGATTGCTCTGGCCTTTCCATCACAACTGGAAAGGCTCCTTGATTGATACGAACCCCAAGTACAGATTCGGCTTCTAGGTTTTCCTGCCAACATGACCTGAAGTGCAGTGAGGGGCCTATTCGTGACTGTTCGTCCCCCACGCATGGCTATAAGCCTTGAAGGATGCAGGGCTGGGCTGACATTGGAGGTCTCCTTTCCCCAGTCAGCATGGTGCCATAACTGAGGACTGGTGCACATGGCTAACCGTGGCCAGAAAAGCACCTGTAACTGAGAAATTAGCAATGGCTCAGTTATATTTGGGGATGCCCTGGTGACTGTGCTCCCTTTGCCTTCTCAAAGTCCTCCTCCACCCAGATGTACTCCTGCCTTCGACCTTGGGTATGGCCAGGTGACCATTCTGTTCAGTGAGGCAGGAGGGTGACTGATAAACACCAACACAGTGAAGACCCTTCACTTTCCTGCCATCTGACAGGCAGTCTCGGGAGGGGATGGTCTGTCAGCCTGGGACAGGGATAGTAACAGTGGGCAGGGGTATCTGGGAGGATATGTAGGGAAGAAAGGGAGAAACATTGTCATTAAATTACAGTCTCAAAATCAAACAAAGCCGCAGGCAGAGCTGCCCTGTCTGTGTGAGAAACAGATCTTCTTTGCTGACTTCAGCTCTCTGTGGCCCTTATCTGTTACTGTGTAACTTGGCCTGGGCAAATCCACAGGCCCTGCCCAAGATTCTGCTTCTCCTTTCATGCTGGAATACTTTGCTTAAGAGCCTCTGTCCCCAAGACCAGAGGTTTCTACCTGGGACCCCAAGACAAGTGCTGTACCAAGTTAAACTGCTGTCAGCCCTGGAGTGTTGCCTCTCTCCTGACTCAAGGTATGACAAAGGGCCACTGTCGTGCAACTGGATAGAATAGGCAGGGGAGAGCCATCACTGCCTGTGGAGTCCAGTATCTCTCCACGTGCCTATTGACATTGTCATGATTAAGACTGGGACTAGGGTGCTACCAAACCTGGGGTCAGGGGAGCGTAGATAGGTACTGGGAGATTTGTGAACACGTGCCATCCTATGCTGAGACATAGGGATGAGGACGGGTCAGCCATGGTACTGTGCAGTACTTGACTGGGCATGTGCATACCTGTGCACACGTGTGCCCTGCTTGTGTGTGAACTTGTACATCGGATGGGTAATTGGTTAAACTCATTCTTCCCACTTCTTGGGAACCCCTATCACTTTAGACAGGGAATGGTGAGCAGAAATGGACTTTTACTCAGCTTTTCCCTAAGAAAATGTTTAGATTGGCTCCTGACCAAACTCAGCTCATCCGAAGGTGGAGACACGGCTCGTGGAATTCATCTTCCTGGGAGAAGGTATAGCCTCATGTTAATAGGTATGACTTCAGCAACCATGCTGGAAAATGCACAGGAATGTAACCTACAATCTGCAAATCTAGGGGGTGGGGTTGGGGTACAAGTGATAGGTGCTGGCTCTCCCTACCCTGGTTCCATGTAGAACACGTAGTTTGCCTGGTTGCTGCCCTGCATGTATGTGGCCAGTGTGTGCTTGGAGCTGCAGTATCTCCCGTGTTCTTGAGCAAAATGATTACAGGTGACCACTTCCTGAACCAGCCTGCCAGGAAAGCATATAGCTCACGTCTTGGTTTGACTCTTTAAAAAAACTGTAAACAAACCAGGCATGGCGGTGCATGCCTTTAATCCCAGCACCTGAAGGCAGAGGTAGGCGGACGTCTGTGAATTTAAGGTTAGCTTAGTCTACATAATGAGTTCCAGGACAGCTGAAGCTGGTGAGATCCTGTCTCAAGAAATAAGTCAAAACAAATTTTAAAAATCTTAAATATACTTAGTGTCAGAGCTGATGGTCATTTAAAAAATGACAAGTTCGCCGGGCGGTGGTGGTGCACGCCTTTAATCCCAGCACTCGGGAGGCAGAGGCAGGCGGATCTCTGTGAGTTCTAGGCTAGCCTGGTCTACAAGAGCTAGTTCCAGGACAGGAACCAAAAGCTATGGAGAAACCCTGTCTCGAAAAATCAAAAAGAAAAAAAAAAGTTCATCAAAAAACACAAAGGAGAGGGATGGAAAGATGGTTCAGCAGGAAAGAGCGCTGCTGTTCTGGAAGACTTGAGTTTGCTTCCTAGCGCCCACAGGGACCGCTCACAACCACCTGTAACTTCAGCTGTAGGGTATCTGACACTTTGATCAGACCTGCAAGGGCACCTGCATTCATGTGCACATAAACATAATAAAACTGATAAAATGAATCTTAAAACACAGGGTGTAAATAAAACTTGTGAAACAGTATCAGGTTAGACGCTATTTTCTCACTGCATGGGGCCCACGCCGACATCCTAGTATCCCACTGCTCTGGCAAACACCAGTCATTTATTCTGGGGATTGACTCAGGTCTCAGGCTTCTGCAGCAAGCACTTAGCGGCTGAGCTATCCCCTCAGCCTTCACCAAACCTTTTCGAGGGTGTAGGTCTTCAGCTGTTGTTTTTACTTCTGTTTCTCCATCTTTTATAGTGGTCCCACGGGATGAATCTGCTGACAAACGTGTTCAGAGTTACACAGGCATCGCGCATAAGAAACACAGAATCAGCCTGCTGCATCAAAGAGATGCACGCGTGTCATGTGGGTGAGGTGGAGCTCCTGGCTCCAACATTGCCAGGAAAGCTTCCGCACACAGCTGCAGGCACTTTCCAAGCCTAAAAGATGAGCTCACCTTGACGGGCTTTCCATCTGTTGTCTTTCCACTGAGAGGCATTTAACAAAACACACCGAAGCTTGTAGAACTTTGCGTTGTGTTGTGTTTATTCCACCTAAAACCTGAAGACCGCACCCCAAAGGAGCCTGCAGGCAGGGCGGGCACAGCCCCAGCCCCTGCTTGCTCTGTACATTCACAGTTCTGAGCGCGGACTGAGGTTGCTATCAAGAGTAATCAGGAGAATGAACTCCATCCCAGGTCTGCTCAGGATTCTCTCAATGTGCCCAGGGGCATTCCACAGGAATCCTTCACTTGCAGACGGAGGGGCAGAGCCCCAACCTCAGGACATCTTAGTTCATTAATCTCCTTCATTGGCCTTTTCGTGGCTTTTCTCTTCTGGAAATTTGTACTCTACAGTTATAAAAACCAACCCGTTGGCTACAAAGGCTGTGTTCACATTTCATTCATACCTAACAAGCTAAGAGCCCAGAATCCAAGCTCCCTGCCCATCCTGCGGCAGTGTGGCGCTGTGTGGCTGAGGTTGAGGGGCTCTGTTTACGTATTTCTCTTGGGGGAAGCACACACTAACACTCTCTCTGAGAAAGTTAGTAAACACCTGTTCCTGCACTTACTAACCTGGTGGTCATTTTTTATAGCAATGCCCCGGATGTAAAAATCTAATTTAGGAGTAAAAAACAAAGTTACAAAGCAACCATTGCTTACAAAACAAACTAAACCTACGGTCACTGTTGTGCTTTAAGGATGAGTTTGTCATATAAAAAGATGAAACCAGGTAATGCCAAAGGGGACAGCCTGGACCCTGTTCCTTCCTGACTTCAAGGGGTGGCCAAGCGCAGTAAACTGTGTGGTCTGTCCCCTGCAGCTGTCATCCCCACAGAAGGACACCTGTGCTCAGAGGGTGGCTGCTTTCCTTAGTCACCATGTTAGGAGAGGACCTCCTGGCTCATCTCAGTATGTCTGCTCCGAGGTCTAGAATGACATCATAATGACATCATCAAGACAAGGGGATGCCTTCCAGTTCTTTCCCACTGCCTGATTCTTTACTCACATTCAATGCTCTCAGTTACATGAAGTAGATTTTGTTATATTGAAACTGAAATACCGAATTGGCAATGTTTATATAAAAAAAAAAAAAGATGGGGATTCAGGAAGGCTTAAGGAAAGCAGAGGATGCTGGGGCCAGTCTTTGCAGCTAAGTGTCCCATGGACCTAAATGGGAGGAGGCAGAGAGACCCTTTAAACTGTGGCCACCGGAGACAGCCTCAGAAGCTATCAAAAACAAGCCTGGAAATAAATATCCATAAACTAACACAAAAAATGGAGTAGAAAACCAATTTTCTTTCTTTTTTAAAAAAATGTTGAATGTTTTCCAAAGTACCTAAGTGAGGTTTATAAAATAGTCACAGGCTCCTGCACAAACACAGAAACACTTATCGGGTGATGTCCCCTCACATGGTGAGCCAGAGATGGCAGAGGCACAGAAGCAGGACAAGGTGACTGTTCTAGGATAGGTGTGTGCAGCGTGTGTGTGCAGACCCCCACACTGTGCACACCATACAGACAACAAGGAGAAAGATTGACACACACTCAAGACCAGCGTATTCGAGGTGAGTCACACGGCCAGACCTGTGCCCACTCAGCCTGTGGAGTCCCGCTCCACAGGGAGGTCCCGAGCACCCACCCGCCTGCCTGCCTGCAATAGGCAGGTGGGATATACACACAGCTTCCCTGCAAATGCCCAGCTGGGCCCTGAGACAGAAAACAAATACATCAGAAGTCTTTTGGACCTCGGGTCTGCAGACAGAAAGAGATGGCGTGGGAAGACAGGGAGATGCAGATGGCACAGCACACACACAGGCTCTAGGCCACTGGAGTCGGGCGGTGATGCAGGAGGGGCCTCATCCCTCCAGAATCGCCCATTCTAGTCCACTTTCTTACAAGAATTCTTTCTCCCAAAGTCTGAGTTTTCAGGGCTGAAGTCAATGCAGAAGCCATTGGGAGTTGGTGCTGGGGGTGTCTGTGCACAGGTGTCAAAATGTGTCTGATCAGGGTACAAATAGTCCTCCGCGAAGTCGGGGTACATTTCTGCAAACTCGCGGAAGTCATCTGCAAAGACAAGGAAGTTGATTATTGGGACCGAGAGAGCCTCATCACCAGCCAATGGTCAGAGATTGCCCCAGAAAGGTCAACACCCGTGTGATGACCGGGAATTCCTCAGGTCAGGGACTAAGAGCAGGCTATGGCAGAGGGGCCTGAGACAAAGGCTGTGGGTGTTGGCATCCAGCTGAAGCTTCCTGGAGAGCACCTCCAATGCAGCTGGGGTGGGTGTTCCCCACAAGGGTACCCAGGTCAGAAGCCCCTGCAACTTTGCCTGGTTGTGGGCTCTAAACTTTAAGCTTGCTTCTAAATCACAGGGAGAAACTGGACCCATGATCATCGTATCTTTCTGGGTTTCAGAAAAACCTTCTTCAGGGGATCCATTACTATGTGGGGAGGGGGTAGCTTAGGGTATGGAGATGGGGAAGGGGTTCCATTCACATCCCCAGGCCTCCTGAGGCCATGCTCTCTTTTGCATACCTGGGCTGGAGTGTCCACAAAATCCTACCCCTGTTTGGGAACGACACTGTGTTGGGACCATTTGGAGTCCTGGCCTCCAGCTGCTCTTCTCTGCTAGAGATCTTTACTTTCCTTCTGATTTGAGTTACTGAAAGCTGTGTCAAAGTTGTTTACCAGCTCTGCTTCACGAGCGAGCACGTGTTGCCTTGGCCTTGAGGATCAGAGGATAAGGTTTTCACCTGCTGGCCCACCTGACTGGGGTGTATAAGCCTTCATGGTACTATTGAATAAGGGGCTTCTTACCAGTGACTAGAGGTCCATGTGTCTGTCTGTCTCTGTGTGTTTGTGTGTTTCAACCTCCAGCCCCTTGCCTGAAGCTCGGAAACTGTATGGTAGCGCATAGAGCGCAGACAGGCGTTGTGAGCTGCAACACTGTTCTGACTCCACTTACCAAATGTGATTCTTCCCTTCTCCTCTTGGTCAATAGCCTGGAACAAGTCAGTCACTGTTAGTTCTGATACACCCAGTGCGGTCTTGAGGATGCAGGACAGGTTGGCCTCATCTATGCTGCCATCCTCAGGTGATCCATACATCTGCAAGGGACAGCAAAGAGTTACCCTGGGGGGTCCTTGTTCTGGTGTTCATCAGGTCTGGTACATTTTCCCCAGTGGTCCTGTTCCCACCTTGTCAAAACAGCTGGCACCCTTGAGAGGGTGGTGCCTACAAGTACCAGGCAGAGGCATGCATGTCTGTCTCTACTGTCCTTTGCAGGTCCCTCATGGACATGCAACATGTCTTGGGTGAGACATGGATGCTGCCATAACTGTGGGAGCAGAGAAACAAGTAGAGAGAGATGAAGTGAAGACTCAGCTCTAGCAGGGAGCAGCAGAAGGACTCAGTGTGCCAGGGCAAAGCTAGGGCCAAACTGGGGCTGCAGGGCTCTTGTAGCAAGACCCAGGCAAGCAGAACAGTGTGCCTTCCCTGCCACCTAGTGGCCAAAGGATAAACTGCAGCATCTTTCGGTTGGGAGGCCGTGGTTTTGATGAAGGCAAGGACTAAAAGTCTACATACATGTCTAACCAGAAAACTACACTCTATGGGAAAATGGACAAGGGGTCTCCAAAGCCCCTACGTGAAAGTTTTTCTACAGGAGTGGCACAAACATGGAAAACAAGAAGGGACCCCCAAGGAGGGTGAGAATGTAGGAGGGTAAACGTCTCTTGGGTCTTCTCACGGTCACAAAGCTGTTTTACACCTTGATATTTGGCCCTAACTGTGGTGTGAGGAAGGCATCGAAATCCTTACACCAGATCCCAGGGTGCTGCAGTGCTGTACAAGGAACCTAATGAACTCATTTGCTTTGCAAAGCTGAACTTGGTGGAATCATTCACTGGTCTGCCTAGGGTTTTAGTTAGACCGAGTGAAAAGATGACTCTGTCTTTCCAGAAAGTCATGGGACACTGAGTTTTGTTACAGGACACCCCACTGACACCTTGTCCCTGCCAATACTGTCTAACGTTCCCAGGGCTACAGGACAAGGATGGGTGCAGGTGGGGAGCCTGGGGAAGCCTGAGAAGTAGCAGCTGGCCCAAGGAGTAGGTGCAACGGGGCAAAGCTATCTATGGCAACAAGGAGCAGGTGCCTGCTATCCTACCACAGTGGGGATGTGGACATTTGGTTTCCTGCCACACTTGCTCTCAGGCGGCTGTGAGAGGCTTGGACCAAGAGCCGCTCGTCAACCAGGCCCTTCACAGCCCAGCCTCCATGGCTTCTCCACTATGACTGTATCTCCTCAAACCACAGCCCTAGATGAACTTTTCCTCTTACAACATGCTTCTTGCCAAGAATTTGTCCCAGTAATAAAAAGAATAACTAACACACACACACACATCCCACTCGGAATCTACTTGCCTTGAATGCCAGCTGGATGGTGGCCAGGGTCTGGGATGGCCTGCACACCACGGACAAGGCGACCACATATTCACGGAGGTCTATCTCACCGCCACCGCTCTGCAAAAGAAAAGCACATTCGGTGATGGCTCGGTTGCCAGCATGTCACAAGGGACCTTCTGGCTAACTGCTTCATCCCAGACTGATGTGGCAACTTCTACATGTGTGAAAAGCATGCTTTGGAAGATGAATCCCGGGCATGCTTGCTAAAACCCCAGTCGGTTCTCAAACGTGAAGCTTCGCCAGAAAGCAAGCCAAGGCCTGCCTGTACTTACAGAACAGGCTAGCCAGCATCTTTGCTGGACTTACTCCACTGAGGACCACTTACACGCGGACAAGCCAGAGGTTTTGCCCCAAGCTCCCCAGTGGACCCACCTCATCAAACAGTGAGAACATGTCCTCCAATGCATCTGAGACAGGAACCTCCAAGTAGGCTGCAAACTCTGGAAGCCCAATTTTCTCTCCTCTCTTCATTCTTGCACTCTCTGAATATTTGTCTAGCTCTTTCTCAAGATTTTCTGGTTTCAATCTAAATAAAAACATGGGAAAGATTCATTGATAAAACCATAGCACAGAAACGAAAACAGGAGACTTACTACGAAGCTTGGAGACTCATCAAAATAGTTTTAAAATTTCTTAACAAGCAGCAAGTTAGTTTCTGAGCCTGGCGTGTCCTCACAGTTTACAAGATGCCAGGTTTTGTCTCTGCATCTAACTGTCTGCTCCTTGGGTGTGTTCCCATATAGTGTACAGGGGTAGCACCCATACACCCGGCTGGTATCCAGAAAGATTCTTTTTTTTTTTTTTTTTTGGTTTTTCGAGACAGGGTTTCTCTGTGGTTTTGGAGCCTGTCCTGGAACTAGCTCTTGTAGACCAGGCTGGTCTCGAACTCACAGAGATCCGCCTACCTCTGCCTCCCAAGTGCTGGGATTAAAGGCGTGCGCCACCACCGCCCGGCCAGAAAGATTCTTAAAGCTCTTCTATGTGGCCTGCTGATGACATCTGAAACCCAACAGGTCCCTTGCAACCTCAGCAACACTTGGTTCTCACGAAGGCTTGAGAACTACAGGCCACTCACCCGAGGCCCCTCACGAGCCTGGCGAACTCTAGTAGGCAGGTGTCAGCGGGCAAGCGGAGCTGTCCTTCTGCCAAAGCCAGCTGGCAATCCTCAAAGGTGTAGTCGGTTACCGAGACTCCCAGAGCCCTACAAGAGAGGATCCTGCCATCAGGCTCCATGCCACTGGCCCTCACCCACCAGTAGGAGGAACCACAGCAGCTGCAAGGGAAGAAGGTCCGAGGGCAGCCGGGGTGGATAGCTCCTGAGGGCCTTCAGGGGAGCACTGCTCTAACAGACTGGCCCAGGCCAAGAAGAAAGCCTAGAGGTCACGGAGGCACAAAGTTATAGGACACCCAGTTCTCAGATGCCAGGCTAACATGGACCTCCCCTCGGGGGAAGCTGCTGAGCCTCATCACACACCCCTGCCTGCCAGAGACCATGATGGGTGCGTCCTCCCTCCTGGGAGTATAATAGGAGCTCTAGACCAGGCCTTTGCTGATGTCTTGGTGTGCTATTTTAGCCACAGAAAACATTATTTTAACTTATATATCAAGAAAGGAAATGCCTATGAACACAGAGAGAAGCCAAAACAAGAGTGACTATCACTGCCTATGAACACAGAAGTCAAAACAAGAGTGACTATCACTTCCCAAGAATATACCCTGCCCAGGACACCTGAAAACAATGAGTTCTGCTGCATGGCACATGCTGTGAGCACACTGGCTGGCAGTGCTCAGGCACCAACGGGATTCCTGCAAAGTCACTGCAGAGGCACACACACCAAGCACTCAGGTTAGCAGGGAAACCTCTCAACTCTTGTCCCCAGATGCATCAGTGCTCATCAGACCCTGCTCTGGGTGCACACAGCTGACGAGGTCTGGCATCCAGCAGCAGCTTGGGATTGTGGTGACATGGCATGTTCCCAGTGGAGTCTCAGGAACGTGGGGCGAGCTGGAAGGGAGGGGCCTCGATCCCAGGCTTACTCTTCTGGGTCTAAGGGTGTGGACAGCTCTGCCACCATGTTACTGAGCTGGATACAGGCAAGCAAGAAAAGCCACTGTTCTCTCCAGGAAGGAGGTCCCTCCCATGGTCTGTCAACGGGAACATGGAGAGAATGGGTGAGGGAACCACAAGAAAGTCCCAAACAGGAACCGACACCCTGCAGCTGGAATGCTCCCCAGAGCCAGCCAGGATGGGACTTTTACAAGAGAGTCCTAGGAAAGAGGAAACCGTCTGTGGCCAGCAAAAGCCTTGACGGAAGGCGTAGGTGAGAGTGCTGAGTGCCCAGGAGTGGCGATGCAGAATGCCCAGCCCCACAGGAGCCCTGTAGGTACATCCACAATCTGCATTGAACATGTATGTTTGATGGCTACCTCAAACCTCCCTTTCTTGGCACACAAGCTGTCCAGATCTGCAGCTGCTTGTTTCTGCTACCATCCCACTGATACCATGCATGACTGTGGTCTGTACAACTGTAATGTGTGTACACCCTACACGCAATCAGTGTAGCATAGCCCCTCAGCTCTACTGGGTTCAGAGGAGCCATACAGAATCACCCCACAGGGTCGCTGCAAGAGGTCCAGGTCCTGTCCTAAGAACTGAATTGTCTATAAAGGCTATGTCAGATTTCACGAAAAACAAAACAAAGCAAAAAAAAAAATTTCCCCCCCCTGTATTAAACACATTTATGGAAGAAAACTCATTAAAACTTCCTTGAGAATCTTTTTTAGGAAAATGGGCTTTCCACTCTGGGCTATTGGTCAGGGTTGTCCAAGAGACTTCCAAAACACCACAGGCTACTGTTATTGCCTTTGGTTGTTCCCAAAGGTAGCGAGTAAGTCCCCATTGCTGAAGATAGCAGGAACTTTGCATACAGGGCCCAGACGCCCAGGTGTTGGATCTGACCTTAAAGTCTCCTTCCTGAACACTAGTTTCCTTGGAGAGCTGGACCCATCAGTCCTACTCAGCCATGAGGCCTAGGAACCACAACGCTGACTAGCATGGCACTGGATTGGTGCATCTAACGGTGCAGTAGCGGCACACATACCTTGGTGGCAACCAGACCTGCTCAACAAGAGGAAAACCATGCTTGGTGCTGGAAACTTAGCCAACTGCCTAGGGCTACTGCAGCCATGAATCTCGGAGGAGAACTTAGAATGGCTACTTTATTAAACCGACATAATCCCTAACTATATTCTAGATATATGTTCGTATACCCACAGATAAGTAAGTGCAGTCCTCACCCCTCATCAAAGAAACTTTTCTTTGCAATTCAGACTACTATAGAAAACCACAATCAGTCATAATACAGAATTGTGGAGCCCAGTGCCAACTGATACAGCTACAACCAACTCCTGCACTTAAGGCTCGGGAATCATTGTGGAAGAGGAGGCGGAAAGATTGTAAAAGTCAAAGGAGTAGGGAGTTTGCTGTAAGATTGTGTCTCTTAGAACTATTAGAGAAGCTACACCCATGACATCTCATCAACGCAAGGATGACATTAACAGACATGTCAACATGGATGGGGGAAACTCAGGAGGCGTCGGCCTCCTCAAAATGATTATTTTATCGAAGACTGGAATGCAGGGATCTTGGCCTGGCTTGAGCATTCCCTTAGTTAGCACGTGCTCAGAGTTGTCTGTGGTCAACTGCAGGTCAGCAACCCAGCTCTAGCCTGGGCGCATGCCCGTCAAGAGACATGAGGGGGAAGTAGGCAGGAAACACTGGAGGCTCATTAGAGGTGCTCCCAGAACACTTTTTCCAGGTCTGTGTCAAGAACTAGGGGTAGGATTGTCCCCCACTCCCAGGCGGAGGAGCCTCAAAGGTTCCTGGAGCTGCCATTGGCAGAGGCTAGAGTTCAGCTCCATGTTCACGGTCCCTTGGGGGGAGCAACAAGGCTGTCCACTTGAGGCTGCAGTGGCAGTGGGGTAATCACTGTCTGGTGTGTATAAGTAGTACGGGAGCCTAGTTTTAAATACATGTATGGGAAACGAGGCTCAGAAGGTGGGAGAATCTCGGGTAACACGATTGTTGTCCAGACTAGCGGGAACCAGAAAGCAAAAACAATGCTTAAGTTCTCTACTGTGCCCAAGAGTCAGGTGGCTGCCCAGGTCACCCTAGAAGATTAAACACACGGACAGTACGATTCCTCCAGCAGGGGGAGCGAGAGTGTCAGCAGATTGTTCACTGTCTTAGGTGGCTGTGACCTGAGGCTGACACCTGCCCAGGCCAGTGCATGCCCCAGAAAACACAGCAGCCTCACTGATGACTACGGCATGTTTGAAACTTGCGAAATGAAGCACAGATTAACCATCTTTTAAATGTTAAACAAGTCAAAACACCATCAGATAAAAGTAGGAGACACAAACCCAAGGCGGAGCGCACTCCACTGCTAGCATACGCAGGACCTGCTTGTTCACTCTTGCACAAACCCATTTCCCCAGCACCACCGGCGGCTGCTCACTCACTTGGCCATGACGCGCCGCACATTGCTGGCATATAGGGCAGGATTTCTCTTCTCCTCCTCAGAAGGGCAATACACGGGCAGGAACTAAGGACAGAAAAACTGTGTTATCTCTGTTAGTACAAGACACTGATTCCATGGGTCATCATAAATGGTAACTGTGACAATTTTAAGACGGGAAGAGCCCGGCCATACATGCTTGCACACTCACAATGTACACACTGCACACACATGTATCTAGACCCACATGTATGTATGCACATCATTGTGCACACACATACACATCTACCTGTAAATTTTACAGCCCAGCACTGCTAAGCTGGAGAACCCACTGTCCCAGGCCACAATGTCCAGTTCCTAATCACAAGCATATCTCCATCCCTCAGTGACAGTTTTGTGTTGAGTATTACACAAGACAGTACTTCTGCAGTTTCTACACCTGAAGCCCTCCTGGCAGCTAGCATCTACTACATCTCTGTGATAAATCAGCCTAAAAACGTAGCATTTTAAATGACTTAGTGGCCCATGCAGATGCCAACTTTACCAGCATGAAAGAGCAAAAGACCATCCCAGATTCCTATTCTTAAAATAGAAGGTATTTAGGAATATAGAAGCATCCCAAAAGCCTGTCAATTCCAACTATGTGCATGTAAGATTTCACATTTCAGAAATTCCTAAAAATTACAGTGGTCCTCACATTAACACTGGCACCACATACCAACAATGCAAAGAAGAGCATGTAAAACATATTGCAGGACTTTTCTCAGTCTTTTATCTGAAAAGGAGAGACCATGTCTAAAATAGGCCTGCCCACAAAACAGGGGTCCCAGCCATGACAAGATCATGTTCCTTTTCAGGCCTGGTCTTGCTTTCTCCTGGTAGCTGACAGAAGAGCCTACCAAAATATCCAGAGCAGCAGAACACACTCTCTGGGCTAGGCTCTTTGGAGAAGTAGCTCACCTGTCCATTTTGTATGCCTCTGCAGTACTTACGGCAAGTGAGCAGGCTGTTTCACCAAATACAAAGGTGTGTATGACTCATTTCTGATTTCAGATGCAGGCCCATCAGAATTTTTTTTTTGAGAAAAAGAAAGAAACAAACAAACCCCAAAACCGAATATATAAACAACCCCCCCCCCATAAAATCACCACTCCCTTCACTCAGAGAAAGTTCTACAGACTATACATATATGACTGTGTTTGTTGAATTTAGCCAAGAGTGTGGGTTAGGACTTAGGAACTTGCCAGCAGCTCAGAGCTGTGTAGGTTATATTCCATGACCAATGCTAAACAGGATGATGACAGAATGAAATTTAGCCATTCAAATCTAGCTGTATCGGTATCAGGCAGTAGCGAAGATAAAAAGAAAATATTGGTCTGTCCCGGTCTCTCTCTCTCTCTTCCCTTTTTGTTGGTTTTTCGAGACAGGGTTTCTCTGTGTAGACCTGGCTATCCTAGAACTCAGTCTGTAGATCACGTAGGCCTAAATTCAAGAGGTCCACCTGCTTCTGCCTCCTGAATGCTGGGATTAAAGGTGTATACCACTACTGGTGGCCAGCAAAAAAAAAAAAAATGTATATGTATCAATTTTATAAACTCTAGGTAACAATCACCTAAATAACGAATGGCAGATTTAGTTTCCTTTTAATTTTTAAAAACCTTGCCCAAGTGCTAACGAGATGATTCAGCAGTTAAGAGCACGTGTTGCTCTTTCAGAGGATCTGGGGGTCTGTTTCTAACGTCCATATGGCAGCTAACAACCTCCTGTAACTCCAGTTCTAGAGGACATGACAACCTCTATGGTCTCTGTAGGCAATACATACACTTGGTGCACAGATACACATGCAGGAAAACACTCATACACACAAAATAAAAATGAACAAATCTTTAAAAAAAATCCTATGCAAATGTATTTAAATGACACAGAGCACATAAAGCCACAGAGAGGAAGTGACCAGAAAGTTCCTCTTGGACCCAGACAAATGAAAAGATACTCAAGGACTGATATGTAACATTATCTGTGTAAGTTAGATACTATGTAACTATCTACACAGCTCTTGGTCTAACAGTTTTTTTAACAATGTATCAAACTTATTCCAGTGTAACATTGTATGATATACAACCAAAAAGACACCCTGTGCAACATTATATGACATTGTATCCTCTGGGTTAACACTGTAACACTATATTTCTAGAGACACCAATGTAACACTGTGTGACACTGTATCCACACAACTGAGTTTAATACTTTGTAATACAGACCCCAGTGTAGCACACTGTATCCATACAGACCCTTATGTAATATTGTGACAACGTATCACACAGCCCCAAGTCTAATACTATTCAAACACCGCATCAGTTTAAACCCTAATGGATCCCTGTATCTCACAAAGCTTAGCAGAACTGACTCTGGGCCATATGCCACTCCCACCACACCCATACTGCATTCTGCCCACACTACATAACACTATGTCCACTCACCTCAATTTCCACCTGGTTTTGAAACTGGCACAGAGTGAGCCACAGGATTTTCAACCTTAAAAACAGCATTGAATAATTTTACAACATGTTTACAAAGTTAGGCTCCTAATTCTTATAGCTGAATAACTCCAAATTCTGACCAAAGCCTCTAGGAGGTGCTGCTGGGTAGTGAACCTGGAAGAAAGGGGAACCTTCCAAAGTTGAAAGGTCAAGGAAAAAAAAGAATGTAGTAAGATGATTTTATTAAATAATCACTTTTCTGGTTAGATATTTGCTTTGGTCTTTGGTTATTTTAGAAGGCCATAATGCTTCCTTTGCCCTCCTGCTTTGACAGCCTTGTCTCCAGGATGCCCATCTCCCTATGTATGCAGGGTAGACTTTCAGCTTTAAGTCATGCTATGACTGGTTTGCCTGATTTCCAGGATCCTGGATCTTCAGTAGTATTGCTGGTACTTGTTGTACTGCATGGAATTACAGAGTTTCCTGGAGTCCCCATCCCTGAGGTCACATTCCCTTCTCTCTTCCTGGCAGTCAGTCACCCCCTAATTCTGAGCCAATCTTTTTCTGCCCTAACATGCCAGTCTGCGCACAGGACAAGACACTGGAGCCCAGTTCCAAGTAATCCTTCCAGTCTACCCCCCCACCCCACCCAACCTCAGAAGTGGTGGTCTGAAGTCACTGCAGGGGCACTTCCCCAGCCAGTGATACAAATACCTTGAAAGGCTAGGGAGGGGCTGGTACCTGATTTCACTTCCTCCCTGAAGCCCTTGAGCCAGTTTTATCCCTAGCTGGCTCCTCCTCCCTGCACACAAATGGCAGCTCCAGTATTGTGGGTTGCCTTGCAGCCTGGTGTCCCAAGTTCAGCTGCTGTAGTTTTTGTTTCTCTAATTCCATGGGGTTGATAATCACAGGACAACTGATTCCTTGTGTCTGTTCCGGGAGGATAGGATACCAACTCTAGAAGGCCTCCCTCACCTAGCACCCCCTGAATCCTACTGCCTATACAAAAGTCCCCATCCCCAAACACCAAGTGCTGCCAGATTGATAGTACTAGGTGTATTAGATAGGTAAGGGAAGGGCTCAGCTACCTTCCCATGGGTGCTGGCGCCAAGGAACTTACGTCCCCAAAATCCAGGAGTTAATTACACAGCCACACGGAACACTTAGTTTTTTTTCACAATGGGCCAACCCTAATTGCTGTCAAGAGTAATTTTCACATTTGCAAAAGCAATGAGAGCACAGGGAGTCACTAGAGGTCTGTGCAGCCATAGAATGAGAGGACAGACAGGATGACACGGGGCCCAACTTACGCTCCGGGTCCTTGCCACGTCCATGTGATGGTGTCCTGGGAGTGAGAAAGCAGATGAATCAAAAACAGAGCCAGATCATGAGGGCCATCTTTATCCAGCCCAGGGATGCAGAACTGTTTTCCTCCCACACTAATATAACCAGAGTAAAAACAGCTGGTGCCCTGGTTTCCAGGGCCCTCAATAACCCAATCTCTCAAATGGCCATCTTTTTTTGTAGCACCTCTGAGGGTGCCAATTCTAACAGTGGCCTAAGTAGGGCTGGTACCCATTACCCCTCTCTCCAGTGTTCTAGTCTGTACTTCCCAACCCTTCAGTATCCCCTGCCCACTCTAAGATGCTTCCTCAGGCAAAGTCTGCCTGGACCTGAGCACATGATCTCACTGTAGCTTCATTCCAAGGCTGAACCTGCACCCAAATGTCCAACCATGACTACTACATACATGCTCCTCCCAGGTCAACCCTGGGCTTTAAGGGGGGCCCTGCCACCAGGGAACTTAGGTATCTCACTGTATGTGTGCCCAGAAGGACTTCAGAAACTACCTTAGAAGTTACACCAAACATTTTCACAGGAGCTAGGCAAGCACCTCACACGGTTTCTTTCCTTTGCCATCTTCAACCTCTTACTACCCTGGTTTGGCTCCCTGGGGCAGACTCTGTGCTCAGAACTCTGGCAGCGGGGGTACATCCTGCAGCTACAGAGCTGAGGAAGCTCACATGAACACAGGCAAACGTCCTGCTTCTCTGGATAACCAAACTTCCAAGGTTCTGGGGGGACCAGTGAGGACTATGGCCTGACCAGGCCAACGAATCAACTCAGAATGGAAACCTCACTCCCACAAACAGGCTGGCAGGCCGCTCTATTCCTGGGTGTGCTGACGTCCAGCAGAGGGCAGGGCCTTCCTCAGGAAACTGACAGGAAATGGACTCTTCCGTGGTTCAGCAGTACGTGACAGAGTCATGTTAGTATTAGTAACTGATGGTCCAGACGGCTTCCACTGCCTATCCATCTGCCCCAGGTGACCTCACGCTCAGGCAGGCAGGCCTGGTTCCCACACGGGCAGGAAGGAGACTGTGTCCGTGAGCTGCCTACATTGCTGCCACTAGGTTGTGAGCTGAGAGGTTTCCTTCCATACTGTCCTCGGCTGTCACAGTAATCAACTGTTGGGGACAGGGAGAGCCCACTGTGGTAAGCACCACCTTACTGTTTCCACCAAGAAATGCCAACTCAGGGCCCTGGGGCTCACATTCATAGACTGGCCATTTCTTTTTTTTTTTTAAATAGCTTTTTAATCTTTTTAATATTTATTCATTTATTATGTATACAATATTCTGTCTCTGTGTATGCCTGCAGGCCAGAAGAGGGCACCAGACCTTATTACAGATGGTTGTGAGCCACCATGTGGTTGCTGGGCATTGAACTCAGGACCTTTGGAAGAGCAGGCAATGCTCTTAACCTCTGAGCCATCTCTCCAGCCCCTAGACTGGCCATTTCTAACTGCAGATGCCATCAAGACAGAGAACACCTGCTCCAAAAGTCATAACAGAAGGGAGAGACTGTGGCTGGCATCTGTGAAACAGGTGGGACCTCATGCCTCTCTCCAGGGACTGGGAGAGTGTTAAAGACACTTGGGAGAAAGGCCCAATGGCAAAACTAGCTCCCTCATCTGGCTCTTCCCTCCTCTGAGCTGGGGTCCTTCCAGGTTACCCAGGAGTTCTGGAACCAACTGTCCTGCCTTATCTTGTTTCTTTAAAACAAGTCAACGAGACTTCCAACTAGAGCAGAGGGAGCATAACCAAGTTACCAGATCTCTTACCTACTGCTCAGTCTTCTAGAATGTAAGCAGCCCTGGATTTTAAAACAGCCCAGAGGGAGCCAGGCTTTGGAGCTTCTGAGTGCTGTCTGTGTGGGGTCTCACTAAAAGCTGGGATGGGTCATGGAGCAGGGCACTGCTTCAGGGCCTGTGAAAGGTGCAACTCTGTGTGCCATTGCTGAGACTATTCCAGAACTGTCACGAATACACCATGGAGCTGGATAACACTTGGGATTCTACCTGCTGGGCCAGCCCCTCCCTCTCTGGGCTGAGGCCATGTGATGATACCAACTGTTCTCTTAACTACTGTGCACGGACAAAGGACGTAGAGACAAGGCAATCCAGATACAACCAAAACACCTAACCAGCTCTAACTCCTCCTGAACGCCTCCCCTCCCCGCCACAACACATGTCCTAGAACATGACTCACCAGCTTGTTTGGGTAGCGTAGCACCACAGGCTGGACAGGAACTCCAGGAATGAACGCACCTGCCAAGGAAAATACAGGGTCTCATTGCTGGCAGCAGGAAGCATGAGAAGGTGGGACCTAGCTGTGGTACTTTTGCTGGCCTTGGTAAAAACAGCTTTTCTGTGCCAGCCTTCCAGGTCAGTGAAGACATTCTTTGGGTTCCTGGATTATTTCCTACGCCCCTGCACTGCCCATGAAGAGAGGAGCTGCTGTGCAGCGTGACAGCATTAAATAAACAGACCCAGACAAAAGGTGAGGGTCTCCAGTGTGTCTATACCTCAGAACCCTTCTCCATGGGTCTGCTCTGTTGACCTTGGTTTCTACACACTGCTCGTTACCTGCATCTAGGGTAGGGCACTAAGCAGAATGAGGCAGACCTGGTCTCATCTGGGGTAAGACGTTCTAGTCAAGCCCTGTCCCCAAGTGTGACTCTGAGCATTGGAGAAATATCACCTGAGAGGCCCCAGCATCACCCCGCCAGGCTCCTATCCTATCTATATCCTGGCTATGCATTCCCTGATAAGTTGACAAGACTGGGTTATGAAGTTCTATTCTATTTTAATAATGGCTGATTGAAGGCCCACACCTCTGAAAACCAAGGTGTCAGAAGCACCCAGACATGCAGGATGGACCTAGCCAAGGGGCCCTGTGCTGCTCTTCTGGACCAGTGCAGAGTCTCATGGAAATCATTGTTCATCAGGGTGTGTGCCCATTCTGGGAGGAGAACGTCCTAGAGGAATGTTCTCTGATTGTTCCGGACACCCCTTTGTTCCTTAATTCAGGGCCGTGGTGATGGTGCTGGTTTAGGATTTCTGTAGCCCTAGAAAATTTTCTGCATGTTTATTCCAGTCTTGGAACCTGGGTGAATGTGTGCGTCTGAACACGCATAGCCATGAAGGCAAGTATAAGGAGGGAGAAACAGGAGCTGGGATGGTGTCATGTGCCTAAACAGCAACTAGCAGCAGGGATACCCACAGGAGGTGATGGCTCTTCCCAGACTCCAAAGCACAAAAGTTGAGGCCACATGGAGGCTTCATGTGTGTCATGGAGTACAGCAGTTGGTTGGATGCAGGTATCTGGGGAGTAAACCATATCTGGACACCACTGGTTGGTAACTGTGGCATACAACATACAACCTCCCCCTCCCCCGTGACATGTATTACCCTTGGGGAGGCTCTTATATATTCTCTGCCCATGGCTTTGGGGACATGGCCTGGTGGGGGCCTTTATGGGCCAAACCCAGGGCGAGGAGCCCAATTGAGGTGGGTTATGGACTTTCTCCTGCAGGTAGGCTTGTCTTGGCCACACACGCTCCCTTAGCTCCTACGTGTATTTTAGAAAGAGCAACCCAGGGCACACTGAGTGAAAGATTTCACTTTCTTGTACTATATCTCTGCCCATCAAAGTTGCTACCACTATCTATGTCAAGAAAGGGAGGGCTCGGTCGTGTGCACAGGAGCAGAACAAATGGGTGGCCTGGAAAGGTGGAAGACTCCATTCAGCACTAAAAAGAAAGGAAAGACCATGAAGCTGGACAACCTCGAAGACGGCAGTCTGATGTGGCCTAGAGCAGAATACTAGCAGCTGTACCCAGGGTGACCTAGTCTGTGGGAGATGGTGTGCATACCTCATGCAAAGAGTTGATGAGTCCACCTCTTAACAGTACTAAGAGCTACGGCAGGATCAAGGGGTGAACCTTTTACACCTCCCAGGTATACAGAACTTTAACTAGGTAGAGTCAGGAGTGGACTTTGTACCCCATCGTAACAACTGTGCTACTAAAGCCAGGAGCTCAATCCCAATGCGGGGCTTGGGGAGTGCCATGAGGGGGTGTCCCAGCTGATGGGTCACTGCTCATGTCCCTGGAGAAAGAGTACTGTTCTCTTGTGGCGCTGGAACCAGCTTTCAAGGCCTTACAACCTAAGAGCAAGCTACAGGCTGGAAGACCTCGCCTGTTTAATAGGAGCTGCCAGGGCCCAGGGCAGCTTGTAGGCCAGAGGGCAGAGATCTCAGCACATGAGGGTCTCACTGGTCAGGAACTCAGAGCTCAGGCAAACATTATCACCTCACGATAGTCATAACCTCTTCATCCTCCTGCAAACACTCCAGCTCTTGGCTCAGACACCAAGACTTTCCTGTGACTTCTGGAAATGCCGCTAAGAACTTGTCATAAAAGACAACAAAGATTTCCATCACCACAGATGCCATTACTTTAAAAGTCATGGCTGGTTTCCTCTTTCTGACAAAGATAAAAAACAAAACAGAACAAACAAAAACCTACATACCAGGTTTGAAGGTAATGAGGCAGGTCCGATTTGTACATGTTCCTTCTGGAAAAATCATTATCTTAAAATAGGAAAAAGATAGCATTAAATCAGAGGACTTAATTAAATCCAGAGTCCACAGAAGCCCACCTACCAACGTGGTTTTTTCTACTACTAACGTAATTTTAGACTATGGCTCCTGGGAAGGGGAGGGTCTTCCTCCAAAGCCCCCCTCAGGGTTGGGAACACGAAACACGCTATAAACACAAAGTAAGGAGCAGTGAAGGACACCGTGGTTCTTAGTCACATGTACATCACAGGAGAGAACGGAAGCCAAAAGTGGAGGCACTGATGAGGAACCACATCATGAGGAAAGGGGACACTGGGAACAAGCAGAAAACTGTGCAGCCACTGGCCACAACTATAGCGTGAAGAAACTCCCGTCCTTGTGGACATGTCAATGGCTGACTCACTGCTCAAGGCAGGATATACAAACTAAAACTCCCCATGATAGAAAAGAAAGCATAGCTCATATAGCGTTCAGATCTGAGCCCCGATGAGAAGGTAATCCATTGGGAAGGCTGGATGGACTCAGTGGCCATGCCTAAAGAACACAGGTAAGTTCCTTGGAGAAGAGGGAACAACTCCTGTGTATAGGGGGAGGTGGGGGCATTGGCCACATTTTACAAGTCAGAAGCCTCCCTAGAGGCTGCCTGTGGGCACAGGTCCTAAGCGCCAGATCTGCCGAGTTTTTGAGGGCATCCTCAAAACTGCTAGCCTCTACCAGTTGGCTCATGTAGCAAGAAAAAACTGAACATGAGTAACATTAAGGCATCTCAGGCTTACGGGGGCCATGGGCAAAGGCAAACCTTATGGATGCAGACATAGGAGACAGACAACAGGACAAGAGGCTCGGTCAGGATCTGGAAGTGCTGAATTCCTCAGGCTCACAGTTAATTCAATCAGCAATCAGCAAGGCACCACCCCACACAATGAAACAAGTGGGTACTTGAGGGAATCTATTTTCATTTAAGCCCAGACACTGAAACCCAAAGTGCCCAACATCAAGTATAGTTTCAGATGCACACACTCCCCAAACACAAACAGAACAATGTCAACTTCAGCACCAGAAAGGGACATGGCAGACTTTGTGGTTTCCTCTTCCTCCCATTCTCAAATTACACATCTTTTGGGAGAGCCCATAAAAGCAAGCAGGACAGTTCTACCTGAGGCCACTTTCCATCCGACTGTGCCCGTCTCTTGATCTCCTCCACTGTTTTCCTGCGAGAGTCCTGGTCAGACCGGGACACAAACACTGGCCGAATGTACCTTATCAGAGCTGTAGGAGGTAAGACAGGTTATCAGCACCCATAGCTTCCAACCACAGGGTTAGAACAAAGACCTCTCAGGGGCCACAGTGAGCTGCAAACCCCAAAGACACCTACCTCCCTAGGCCATGTTGATGCCTGGAGGGTGAGCGACCTTTCAGTGAACTCCCAGAACCTAAGTACCCTGGAGGAGCAATACAGTCCACGAGACCATCAGCCAGGACACACAGGACATACTGGAAACCTAACACTACCAAAACACAGACGATCTGTCTGTCACTCTATGAGCAGAACAAGGAGATTCAAGTGCTCCTGGACCCCACTGTTGACTGAATTTGCATTCCTGAAAGTCAAGAATGAAGCCCTAACTCCTGGCACCTGGGAATGTGACCCTGACTGGGGATGTTTGCAGATAATCAAGTTCAGATGGTATCACCCTAACTAGGGTGGTCCTAATGAACAACTGACATCCTTGTAAGAGAACACGGGGGGGGGGGGGGGGGAGAGAAGGTTGCATGCATGACAAGGATGCTATATGCCTGCAAGCCCGAGAGTGCCAAGGAATGCCAGCTGCCACCATGTGCTCGGCTGCCAATGCCCTTCTCTTGGACTTCCAGAGTGGCGAGAACAGGCTCTTGTTGCTTCTTTGCTGCAAGAACCCTAGAGATCCCACACAGTCATGGAGTAATCGCGACATCACAGGGTCTCTACATTTGGTCTAGGTTCTATGGCCATGACTTGCAGGGCTCAACTGACCAAAATGTTGGGGACCACCAAAGTAAGAGCATGTAAAAATAGGACAGTGCTCAAAAAAAAAAAAAAGAAAAAAAACAAAAAAAAAAAAAACAAAACTATGAAGAGGTTTTAAGATGAACTGCCCTCAGGTAAGTCCATGTTCTGAGGAAAAATGGAGCAGGGAACAGGCAGCTACAGCTGATCTCCCAGGACTATGTTAGCTGGAGGTTCTTTTTAAATCATTTTGAGACTTGAAAAGATTACTCTGTGATTCTTTCTAGGTGGTTTTCAAAAAAGCAAAGAAAACAATTTAAAAAAAAAAGGAAGAAAAAAAAAAGAGAAAAATCCCTTCAATCTTGTAATAACCCACTGTGTCTTTATAACTCTTCCGAAGAGCCAAACACACAGGGGCAGTGACATGTCTTTATAGGTCTTGAATCATTTTGCTGTTTTTGTCATTCTAGCAATTGTTTCATCCTTTTCTGTCAACTTCATGACGGTGCTAAAATGACTTCGAGAGTCAAAGGGAAGAGGAATGACAGAACCTGCCCAGAAGGCTGTGAGGGTGACATCACAATCCCAACTTCATCTGCCTTTCTGTAAAACGCCATCATCTCCTAGAGGTGCTGAGGCTCACCTGGTCTTGCTGTCTAGTATGTTTCATGGGGCTGAGTACAGAAACTTTCTGTGTCTATGACATCAAGGATAAGAAAACTGTCTCGGATAGTGGAAGATGTTGGGGGATATCATTTTAAGTGTGTTGCTTTTGTTTATGTTGCATTTGTTTAACTCTGCGAAGCTGTGATTCTTTGCCTGTCTAAAACACCTGATGGTCCTAATAAAGAGCTGAACGGCCGATACCAAGGCAGGAGCAAGGATAGGCGGGGCTGGCAGGCAGAAGAGAGGATAAACAGAAGGAGGAATGAGAAAGAAGAGGAACAAGAGAAGGAGAGGAGGATGCTAGAAGCCAGCCACCCAGCTACACAGCAAGTCATGGAGAAAGAAGTAAAGAAAGGTATAAAGAAATAAAGAAAGATAAAAGCCCAGAGGTAAAAGACAGTTGGGATAATTTTTTAAAAAGCTGGCAAGAAACAAGCCAAGATAAGGCCAGACATTCATAACTAAGAATAAGCCTCCATGTGTGATTTATTTGTGAGTTGGGTGGTGGGCCCCTCAAAAGAGTAAAACATCACACAACAGGAAGATGCCTTCCGGTCCTTTGGTGAATCTGAGGATGGACACAGGGAGGCAAGAAGCATTCCAAGGATGGGACAAGGTAACAGTGATCATCTGGGCACCAGGAGGTTATCTTTGAGGGTTCCTAGATACACCTCATTCCATCAGACAAAATGATTCTGGGCCTTGATGGACAAGTTAGCCCACAGCTCCCTGGCAGTAGGCCATGCTATGCAAATGGCCAACACAACTCTGCTGGAAGTCCCAACACACCTGCGATGGCATTCCCTTACTGTTTTACTTCCAGATATTAATTGGCCAGTTCAATGTATGAATGAGTACTGGTTGGTACGACTTGCCGTAAGATTGCTCTGTCCAAAGCAGGTGATGGTGGTGCATACCTTTATCCCAGGACCCAGAAGTAGAGGCAGGTGGTTTTCTGAGTTCGAGGCCAGCCTGGTCTACAAAATAAGTTCCAGGACAGCCAGGACTATACAGAGAAACCCTGTCTTGGGGGGAAGAATTTGCCCTGAAGGCTGTGGGCCATGTGGGCATTTTCTGGATGAATGATTGATGGGAGAGGGCCCAGCACACTGTTGGAGTGATTTAAAAGAGCAGGCTGGGCAAATCATGGGGATCAATGCAGTAAGCAGCACTCCTCCATGGCTTCTGCCTCGCCAACTTCCCTAGGTGATGGACAGTTGTTACCAGGAGTGCAAGCTGAAATAAAGTCTTTCCTCCCCAGGTTGCTTTTGGTCACGGGGTTTTTATCACAGCAAGAACAACCTTAACCCTAACTAAGACACATAAAGTTGACTCACAGAATTCTGACAATGTAGAAACAGGAAAAGGTATAAGGTTGGTCACACTCCTGGCACGGACAGACCTAAATATGAAAATTAGGTATTTTCAACATTTATCTCTTCAACAGAGTTAGGAGCTGTCTGTCAGAGGGTTCCAAAGAAGGGCTGGAAGTTGGGACAGGCCATTGCCTACCTAAGCCTGCTCTGAGATAGGAACCAGAACGCATCCTGGGTTCTCAAGGGGTGAAGAGGACCCTTGGCTGCATGCCCAGGTCAGTACCTTATGTGGCACACTGCCTTCCATGGTAGCTATCTGGGTAAGGAATCAACTGAGATGAGCTAAATTTGGAGCCTAATCAATATTCCTCTCCCTCCAGAGACAGGGTCTCGATGCTCTAGCCAGGGCTCAACGGATCCTCCTGCCTCAGCTTCCGGAGTGCTGGGACTACAGGCACACATCACTGGACCTGGATAACGAACATTTCTGATAAACTTGCCACCACCATTCACTCTGTGGACCAGGAAATGTACAAGCTACAGGAAGAACCTCTGTACACAGCGATAATAATTCTATAAAACCCAACAGCCTCCTGGAGCCTTGCCAGGGCCACATGCAGTGACGTTTGGGGCTGGTGACACCGTTCAGGGTTATCGAGGTGGAGTACATATCTGCCAATTACAACCTCATCTAGCGTCCAAAAAATTCTTGGAATTCAACCCAACTTTCCAGGCATGTGGAGTATTATCCTTTATTTGACAATCAGACTGATAAAATCTAGTCTATGACCCAAATAGCTCAGCTTCCCTCCAGGAACCTCGTCAAGAAGGGAAGTGACCATGCTCGCACAGAGCTGTTTCATAACCAATGTCCTTGCAGTTCATTTCTGCCTACAGGATCTATTGTGCCTCTCATGGGTACAGGGCTACATACAGCCCCGCCTTCTGCCTTCCTGCTTGGCATCTCTGCAGAGTCCTGGCTATCTCAATCAGGAGACTGAGCGAACCCCTAGCTGAGCCCCAGTCTAGTCTCTTCCCCTCCATATGAGCCAACTCCGTACCAGCACCCTGTGCATGGAAGGAATTCATGGAGGGCTTATGAGCCTTGGAGCACTTGGTTCAGGATACTGACCACAGTGTTACCTGAACCCATGGTGAAGACTCACATTTCCCATGGAAGGGAATGACCGCACCTCTCAGACGGGAGGCACACGGGCTATGGAGGCCATGTTTGTAGCGGACTTAGCCACGGCCAGGTGCCTCTGAAAAGTCACAGGCACAGGTGAGGGAAGGGGCTGATCAGGGGCTGGGGACCTTGCTGCCATCGGCCTGGGTTCTAGCCTCCTTGACCACCTGCTTCCCTGTGGCCATGAGCCAGTTCCTTAGTGTTTCCATGCAATGGGGAAATGCCTGCTCACCAGCAGAAGGAGAAGGAGATGAAGGTGAGGACAGACACAAAAGTTCTTGTGCCCTTAGGTAGCTGGGAGAAACTTTTCCTCATAATCTAGCCAAGTGTAAGCAGGCTGTTTCTACACTTTATTCTAGGACAGACATCTGGGTCAGGGCCAGACCAGAAGGGTCAATCCGGAGTGACGGCCACATCCTTTCTTCTGCCCACCTCCAGGTAAATATACCTCAAGATTTCAGAGGTCTCTCACAGAGCAGAAGACTTTTATGTACAGAGAGATTGGGATACCAGGGACACTGGCTAGTTTTATGACAACTTGACACAAGCTCAAGCCATTCATGGAGAGGGGAACCTCAGGGAGAAAATGCCAGCACCAGCTTGGCCTCTGGGCAAGCCAAACATTGATTTAATGATTGATGTGGGAGGGCCCATTCCATTTTGGCTGAGCAAAGCATGAAGATCTAGCCAGTAAGCAGTACTCCTTCATGGTCTCTGCTTCAGTTCTCTGCCTTGACTTGAGTTCCTGCCCTGATTTCCTTCAGCGATAGGTTGAGGTGTTTAAGTGTAAGCTGAAATAAAGTCTTTCCTCTCCAAGCTGCTTTTGGTCATGGTGTTTCACCACAGCAAGGGCAACCTTAACTAAGACACCACGAGGTACCTCTGTTTTCAGATGACACTCCCGGGGCCCGTACAGTTTGGAAGATACAAAACTATGCCCTGTGGTGTTTTGAGACCCACAGAACTACCCCAGCAGAGTGCCCAGACACCAGAGCAAAGCTTTGGAACAAAGAATAGAGCCTTTCCGCCACGTCTTCTCTTCTTGTCAAGATGTGGGCTCAGAACTGTGGCTCTTCAACCACAGGTGTCGGGCTGAAATCTCCTCCTTCCACTGTTCTTCAAGGGTACCACAGCCACCACAATAACCACAGTACCCAGTAATCACCCTACACTGCCCCCCTCCAACCCCACATCATCTACTGAGATGCCTGGGAACCACGAAAGAGGCCAGCCAGGGTGTGAAAAGCAACTGAATGTCAATACTGTGTTCTCTCTATGCCTTAACCCTAGACCCCGTAAAATGGCCTTTCAGACAAAAAGTCTATGTAGATGAAATCGTGGACCTTAGAATGAGGCTATTGGTTATCCACTGGCATGGCTCTTAGCTAAGACACACACAGGTGGGGAACAGGGGAAAGCTGGCCATGCAACCAGTGAGGCAGGACATCCCCCATGGAGCTTCTGGAGGGATCCCCCTGGCACACACTATGACCTTGGACTTGTGGTTCCTAGAATGAGACAGAAAGACCTCGTGCTATATCAAAGCACCCAAGATTTGTGATCCGATCAGCAGTCCCAAGACACTGCTATTCCTGTGGGAGTCACTGGTGCTCAGGAGCAGGCTTCCCAGAAGCTCCAGAGACTGTGAACTGCTCTGTGATACAGGAAACATGCCTATAAGACAGACCTTGGACATGTATGTCTGCACTTGACAGTACCGGAGGACACACAGGCACTGATAAAACCCACAAAGGCTCATGCTACTGGGGAACCACAATGTAGCCTGAAGGGACCTGTCACCGGGGAGGTGTCTTACCCACTCTCAGGGTCTCCTTGCTCACCCACCCCTGAAGTTTTACCTGCTCTCAGAAGGTTCACCCACTCCCATCGTCTCACCCATTCCCAGGGGCTCATCCACTCTCAAGTGCTCTCACTCACTTCCCCAGATTGGGATGTCTCTGCTCTCCGCCTTCATCACAATGGAGGACATGGTCATGGTGACAGGGATGGCATCAAAGTAGGAGGAATGTGGAGCCAGCGTGAGGATGGCGGCCTCCGCAGGCAGGGCCTGCCGCCCCTTCACGGCCACACGGTGGAATCCGCCAGCAAACCACATGGTGCGCATAATGGCCTTGAGTAGAAAGTCCACAACCCTGTAAGAGATAGGCAACGTCAATCTGGCTCCTGCCACAACAAGGGCATGCAGGGGGCCTGGGAAAGTGATGCTGGGGTCTTGGCAGTGGGGCATTGAAGGCTACTGCAGCAAACGCCCTTAAAGGAGAACTGTGTGCTTGATTCTGGGGGCACCTACAGCCAATGGCTCCCACCTCTGACAAACAACTGAGGGTTTTTTCCCACCACATAGCGTCTTGCAAGTGGGCACAGCTATTCAGCCTTGGCAGCGGATCACACGCCAAGGTCAAAGACACCCACACTTTTGATATCGGCAGCTCAGGTTAGCACTCAGTCGTGCAGGAGCAGACAAACCATCAAGGCGTGTAGAACACCCATTAGAAGCTGCATGCTAAGCAGCTGAGAGCAAAGGCAGTATCCTGGCAAGCCTTCTAGACCTTTTCACAGGTCTCCCTAGCTTGGAGGCTGACCACATGAATCAATACAGCTTTTGGAAGGACCAAGATGGACATGAATGTAAATGAAAAAAAAAAAAACTGGCTGAGGTCATCCATCTTGGTTTCCTACGATATCCTTTTTAAACACACGAGAATTCAGGCATCCAACCCTGGTATTTTCCTTTCTCCTCACCCACAACAAACCTCAGTCGCCACTCAGACACTCCTCAGGACACCCCTGCAGTGACATGTAGCATGGACAGCCCTAGGAGGAGCTTGGCCCCCAGAGACTTGCTACAAAACACACCAGATATCATTGACTGTGGGCTAACCAGGTGATTAAAAACACAGAAAAAAAAAGCCCAAAGCCCTGTTACTTGACTTTCCCAAAGTGCTAACTCCCTTGGAGGTTCTGCGAGAGGAGCCCCAGCAGATCTGAGTAGAGGCCAATCACTGTTGAATGCAGAGCCCCTGGAGGAGTCACCTTGGAAAGACCTTTGCTTACTCGGAGAATGAGCAGCTGCTGTGGTTACAATGAGACACTGGGGAGCAGACTCAAGGTTCTATTTCTAGGGACGGTGTGAGAGATGGGGACACATTTCTCAATGTCAGTTGGACACTTCTAGATGGACTCAACAATAAAAAGTTCAAAAATAAAATGTACAGTAACTGCTAAGGAAGAGGCTGCAGAGAATGAGGAAGTGGAGCTGTAGGAGCTGCACTGGAACAGGAATCGGTCCTGGGAGGGCAAGAGGAAGAGGGGAGCTGGAAAGAAAGTACCATCACCATCACCCTGCAGTCTTGTTGACAGCAATGCCCTTCTGCCCTCACAGGGAAAGATGAGACAGCATGGGGGCGGGGCATGGGGAGGGGGCACACAGACTGATGGTGTGAATGGAGATAGACCTTGTGGGCTCAGAGAAGGTGAAGCCCCTCATCCTGCTGGTACTGTCACAAGGGGCAAGGAGGACATTGAGCTCTGGGCAAAGCTGGAGGTCAAGTAAAGGCCAGGAAAGAAAGCTACAGGAACATGAAGGAGAAGAGAGATGGAATCCGGGCTAAATAGCTTACTCAGTGCTAAAGAAGACCTGGGGCTTTGGGCACAGGATGAAAGGAAGATTCTGAATATAAGCTGTTTGCCTCCAAACACAGGCGCATGAGCCCCTAGACCAACACTCTCCAGGAGGACATTCATGCTATACTTCAGCCAATCAGAAAGCCAGGCAAGCGAGAGCAAGCTGGCTGTCAGAAGTTAATCAATTAGTCTGAGTTCCTCCTGCAAATCCTCTTTCTGGGAAGAGAACCTGACACTCCAGAAAGTCTTCTTCTTTAACAACAACAATGAAAGACCAAACAGCGGGTCATTCGGATGCCCCAGGAGGCAAGCACCAGCCCATAGTGTGGCTTGACCACAGGGCTTAGGGAACTGAGGCTGAATTTGGGATTTTGACACTCTTTCTGCCACAAGAAAGAAATGGAGATACTGAAACTCAAGGGGGAAAAAAAAGGCTACAGTCCAAATGCAAAGCAAAGAATGTGTGTAATTTAAAAACTTTAAATCATAGGATGTGGCTGTACCTCTGCACACAGAGGAAGTTGTATTCATACCCAGGATGTGGGGACTCCTCTCTGAGGGTGGGGGTAAGACAGTCGGTCCTCCAATCTCACGGTTAACCCAGGAGCTGCCTGTGGGCTGAGGATCAGAGGCAGAGGACCTGGACTGCTAGCTGCCTGACCCACCCCTGTACTTACTCTGGCGGGTAGAAGAACCAGTTCAGGGTCAGTACTATCAAAAGGCAGCAGTATGATTTTCACGACAGTGTGCATTGAAAGAAACTTGAAAGAAGCATCTTTTGTAAACCCGTGTCAGTCACTGAAAGCCTGAGATTTTAAAGAACGTCTGAATGCTACCAACTTCATCCAGGAAAAAAAAAAAGTCGTCTCTAACACCAATCTGTTCACAACAGCTCTGCCGTGCGAACGTAACGCCGTCTGAGGCTGAATGGATCTGCTGTTGTAACTCAGCAGAACGTAAGTTATTTTAAACCCCGCTTTTTCCTGATTCTGCCCCACTCTAGCTGCACAGCTCATCATTACGTCTCCTTTCAGGAGTCAGAAGCACCCATAACATCACTACGTCTCCTTTCAGGAGTGCCCGGGGCCACAAACACACTTAGTTCCCATAGATACCAAATGATGGTGTCTACGGCTTCAGGAGGCACAGCGCGGTACATGCAGGTTCAGTATACACGTGTATATTGTACATATGACACTCTCATCTATATATAATCCAACCTACATAATCACACAATCAAATCTGTGCACACATACATGCACTCTCCTGCACATATTCTCACCAACATGTATGCACCCTATACATACGTACATGTCAGCATGGGCACACTTGCATGCTCTTATCTACATACATGTATAGTGCAACAAGCACATTCATGTATGTTCACATTCCAACACACTTACCTGTACACACATACTCCAATACCTCCACGGATACTCTCATCTTCATATGCACATGTATACTCTAACAGGTGCACACACACACACACATACATCAACAAATACATGCCAAATATACTCCAGTACCTACACACATATCCATCTATATGCTCATCTAAATGCACACTCCAATAGGCACATGCATGCATATTCTCATTTGTGTACACTCATATATGTACATGCTTCATATACATACACTCATATACATACATACACATACATATACATACATACACATGCACATATATACCCAAGCATAAACACATCCTTCTCTCTCACATAGAATGGAATGCACCCTGAGCTGACAAAGACCATACAAAGCTCAAAGGAAACTGTGGTCATAAGAAACCTCAGCTTCTCACTCAATGCACATGAAACACACACATCACATTTGTGCAGTGAAAGAAGCTGTTAACAGACTGAGTGACTTGGACACACAGGGACAGAGCTTTTGGAACCAGTCTGCTGTTGCCCTTTTTAGTTTGCAGAAGCTCATTGAGCGTGCATACAGGACAGTCTCAAGGGAGCATGGAGGCCAGGAACAAGGCCCAAGTCACCCACTTTGAAGATGGTCCTGCTGCTCAGAGATTCTGAGTTGGTGTAGGGAAGAGAGAAAGAAGGGTGATCAGGCCCTTGTGATGCCAGGCAGGTAGCATACAGAGCCATGGCAACATCCTCAGCGGCTTGTCACCAAGAGTTGACACTTGTCACACAAGCAAACTGCATTCAGCAAGCTCAAAGTCAGGATTTGGTTTGGCCTAGATTTGGCATGCTTGGTTTTATATCATACCAAATTCATAGTTATGTTGGGTTTTTAAAATCCTTTTAGAGGATGTCACAATAAAGCATGCTGTTCAAAGAGGATTAGGAAATCTCAGACAAACAAAAAACAGAGCAAGCAACAACTTCACGGATGCCCAGCCTCATTCAACACCCACACTGCATGATCACCATCATCTGATGGGAACCTGACACCCAGAGAGCTGAAGTCTCTCCTTAACAAACATCCTGTGCACCTCACAAGAAAGAAAGGCTGAGAAGTTTGAGTGAACATTCAGGTCACAAAGTATCAGGTTGTGATATTTTAGGCTTTGGGGTCACAGAGCCCCCCACACCCACACAACTCAGCCCTCTGTGCAAGAAGCCCTGGGGTGCCCATGCTCTAGGAAAAGGTTATTTGCACAGCAGCCAATCTGGCCTGTAGACCTTTCTGCCAGCATCTCCAGCAAGGATTTGTTTGTGTTTCTGAGCCGGCAAAGGGAGCTCTAGAGACAACAGTAGAGCATTCTTAGAGTGCTGGCTAAGGCACCTGTGGCAGGTGGAAAGACACAAGAAAATATTTAGTGTCTATAGCATCTTGTACTGTGGTTTTAATGGCACTTCAGTTTGGCTCTGTTCCCAACATATTCATCTTCACACAGTTGAGGTTCATTCATATCGAACACTTAAAAGTGGGGCTAGCTCAGGTCTAAGAGAGACCCAGCCTGCAGCAACAGTCTCCAACACTCTGGAAGCCTGGACTGTGTGCCAGCCAGAGCTTCAGCTTTGCCAAGTTTGGTAAGAAAGTGAGATTTGGTATAAAGAGTGCGGGCTTGTCTACTTTCAGTGACCCTGAGTGGGCAGGATCAGTGTCAACCATGACCCGACACTCAAAAGCTGTTCCCCTTGAAACTGCTTTAAGTATACCCAGAAGATGTGCTCTCTCCGCCCACAGCACCCACACTGTGGGGGTTGAGGCAGGGACCTGTATCACTGTAGTGCTGGGTCAACTCAGCCTGAGAGCTGTCCATTTAGGATACGCTCCCCAGCTCCCACCAGCAGCTCCAGAGCTGAGTGAGGGTCACCTGGGAGCTCTGGTTTTCATCTTCAGGCTGTCAAGAGACAGAAGAGGTTCTGGAACACAGCAGGCCATGGTGGTGGGAGGATCTCTGTGCTCTGGGACATGGGTACAACAGCCCCATGACTCGCAGAACCTTGAAGATGAAGCCTCAGGACCAGAGGAAGAGGCAGGCAGGGAGAAGCTGGTTTCAATAGAAACAGCAAGAAGATAGCACTAATCCCTGGTGAACAACAGGTCTCAATAAAGCATGCTTAGAAAGGGAGAGACAGGTCCATACTGACTGAGCCCAGTAACATTGTGACAAGGATCACAACACACACACACACACACACACACACACACACACAGCTACTTACTTCCTCCATAAGGCCATGGGCTGCTCTGGCTCCTTATCAGGCGGTCCCAGGGAGGCCACAAGTGCAAAGGGCCAGGCCAGTAGCATCATGAAAGCAGCGAACAGGAGCCGGATAGGGAACAGCGTCAACGTCATGAAAGCCACCTGGGAAGACAGGTGTTATTTTTTAAGCACGCCTGTTTGAGAACACGTTGGAGCTACCTGCACCCTGGGGTCCTGCAGAGCCGGGTCACAGCTAGCCAGTGCACTGCCATCGCTGTAGACCCCATGTTCTCACTCTTGACAAAGACACTCAAGGAAATGGCATGGCAGAGTGTGATGGGCACACTTGGCTCTACTCTCACTCTGATGCCATATCCACCAGAGGGTCTAGCACTCTAAGCTGGAGCCAGGCTTTCAGCTCGCTCAACACATGATCATACCTTCCTGCCTCTCCCTCAAATCATTAAGGCGGGGCTGGGGAGATATATCAGTCTGGAAAGTGCTTTCTGAAAGAGCTGAGGACCTGAGCTCAACCCCAGAACTCAAGTACAAAAGCTAGGTGTGGTGAAGCCTGGGGCTGTCTCACTAACCAGCCAGCCTATCCTACTTGGTGTGTACCAGACCAGTAAGAAACCCTGTCTCAAAACAAGGCAGACGGTGCCTAAGGAATTATATCTGAGGCTGACCTCTGGGTTTGACATGCACATATGCACATACACAAATTACTGATGTGCAGAGATAGTATATGAAGTCCCAAATGTCCATGAGGTAGTGAGGGTGCTGCGTGGAGTTGTAATACCAACCTTGGACCAGACAGCAGAGGACTCAGGGCACCTCTCCAGGCAAGATTAAGTTGGGAGGAAGGCCAGAGCCCAAGGGAAGCATGGTTCACTGACCAGTGCTCACCTCAGGGCAGCAGGAAGCTACAGGACCAGGTGGCTGCCAGTTGCTCTGAATTTGGAAGACAGGCGGTGGGCAGTTCAGCTCCATTGGGCAGAGCCAAATGCTGCATCAATGGAAGGCATTTTCACAGCCTTAGAAATCAGTGTGGACTTGACACTGAGAATGAATTAGCATTCACACCTTTTAAAGGCCCAATAGTCACTTATGCCTTGAGGGCAAGGCAGATCCAGGTACCAATATCTGCTCCAATACACAGTTCATTCACTGGGACCAATGATTATGTACTGACATCTCATAGAGCAGTGGGCTGTCAGGAGATGTCTTTGGAGGTAAGAACATAAACCACTTCACCTGTCTCTATTGGGACATACTACCTGTTCTTATGCAACATACTGAAGTGCTGTGACCAGGGTTTCTCCGATGTCAAATTTTTGCCTGTAATGCTAGCTAGGAAGTAACATGATGGGGCTTGTGTTAGGGGTGTCGGGAGGCTACCTGTCTGGGCTTGTATTAGGGGTGCTGGCTTGCCGGTGACGGATCTGGAACAACCCTTCTCTGACTTTCAGGGAAGACTCCTATAATCAATCCCCCAATGACCCCGTGCAGTTTTAACTGGCACTTCCCATTGACACATCTCTGGCTAGCTGGCTGCAGCTTCCAAGATTCTAGGATCCCCGCTTTGCAAACTATGTTTTTCTCCCTGGGTTAATCTTATTTATTTTCCCTGAGTTTTCCTAGAAGCCCTTAGCAGGCTTCCCAACAACACCAAACTTGAGAGTGGAGGAGGGAGTCTCTGCAGCATTGTTCAGTATGCAGGGTGAGTGTGAGCCAGGGAGGAAACCTGTTGTAGAATGGTGTGCTGCATCGGAGAGGGGAGCAGTGCAGTGTGGGGGTACACGAAGTTGGGGAGACAGCTTACTATGGTGATGTACAACATACTGGGGAGGGTCGAGAGGCCTCAAGCATCAGGACCAGCTTCCTCTATAGTCCGCCTTCACCTTTACTCACTGCTGGCTTTCCAGCTTTTGTCTGTATCCCAGGGAGCAGGGAACCCTTCCCCAGGTAAGCAAGGCAGGACTAGCGGGGCCTGCCACAAACTTTCTGGAACCTACTACGGTACCTTTTGCTTATATCTCCCAACATCTCCACAGGTTGCCATCTTCATGCATTCTCAGCCTAGCCACTGGTCCCTACTTCATAAGTGCCCACCTGGATGCAAACTGGTCTGAACAGACTCAGAGGACCAAAGACGTAGGAGAGATCAATATTTCTGAGACACAACAAAGGAAGCAGCTAGCCAAAAGGCTAAGACACCAGAGTAGCTGAATCTGGTAGTGATGGTATGGGGTCTGGGGAGAAGGAAAGTTCTAGGCATTCACGAGGACCATTCTTAGATCAGGCTAGAATGAAGAGCCACAGAGTATCTGACTCAGGAACAGGCAGGCTAGAATGAAGAGCAACAAAGTATCTGACACAGGCTAGTATGAAGAGCAACAAAGTATCGGTCACAGGCTAGAATGAAGAGCAACAAAGTATCGGTCACAGGCTAGTATGAAGAGCAACAATGTATCGGACACAGACTAGAATGAAGAGCAACAAAGTATTGGACACAGACTAGAATGAAGAGCAACAAAATACCTGACAACTTTCCAAACACACTATCTTCCAGGTGTGGGTGGCCACCACCAGGGAAGGCAGGGCCGCCTCTCTACTAAAGCCCCAGGCACCTTTTCTTGCTGTAGCTTATGAAATCAAGAGCTCTGCCCACACCAAGAGCATAGGGTGCTGGTAAGATGCTGGGAGGGAGACAGGAGTCCACTCTCCACACCCACGAGGCCCAGTGCCATGCTGGATGCCAACTTATAAAGGGTATGGGAAAGTCTCCAGAGCCCATTTTACAAAAATTACATGCAGTATGGCTGTCCAGCAGTGAGACAGTATGTTAGCAGATTGGATACCCTGTACAGGAACTGGCCAGTGAAGAGCTGGCTAAGAGTATAAATGAGGGGACAGCCTGGTACAGGCCATAGGACGAATGAAAGAGGGGAGGGACACGGAGTAAAGGATTCAGCTATGCTCCCAAGAGTGAAAGGGTTGGGCTCCATGTGTCTATAGACACAGGTGTAGGGCCACTAATGCTGGTACCCACAGCCCCACCTTTCTAAGTCCAGCTGTGGAAAGTGGAGACCCTACTCACTATAAAGAGCCACATTACTCTCAAGGTACCAGGCCAGGCAAACTATGTGGTCATCTTGCCTGTGAGCTAGAAGGGAGTAATTGCACCACAGTTCAGTAAGGAATTACACTGGCCTGAGGGCTGTGTTGACTTCAATTGCCCTCTGAGGGTTGATTATAACAAACCAACCCATTAAGAGAGAGATAGTCTAGATGAACAGGACTGTATACACACACAGTCCATCACAGCACCACAGGAGACAGTCTAAATTAGATTTTGAGGGCCCCCTTGGGAGGAGGGCTATGACCTGCCTCCACAGAAGAATTCTGTCCAACAGCAGCCACTTCATAACAATCCCAACAAACCTAGTCTCCTTGTATAAGGCTGGGTCTGAAAAAGAGCAGAAAGTGTGGACTGAACCCCAGTATCTATTGTAGCAAAATATAGGAACAGTAAAAAATGGCAGAACTCAGGAGCCCACAGGCCAGGACAGAGCTGCGATGCATCAATGGGACCAAGGGCTGGGGCATGACATACTCAAGGGCATCTTCTATAGCATACATACATACATGAGCTCACAGAGACATACACAGAACGATACATATTTACATACCCACTGGCAGAGAGAGGTACAAACACATGTGCACACACACCCCAGTATGTACATGGACACATTCACATACACATTGTACACATACATATAGATACACATGTACAAACATAGTCTAATTCATATATACACTGAACACATAACATTAGATATACGTGCATATACATATACCAATAAATACGATATGGGCACATTCATACATACACTAAACAAATATACATATGCACAAATATTCATGTACACAATGATACACATAAATACCAATACAGACAATGTGGACATTCAAATATTTAACACATATACACAGTACACATGTACATACACACAATGTAGACATATTCACACACTGAACACACATGTTTTCACATACACTGACACATGGATACATATTTACACACAGTCAGACCTTCACACATACACTGAACACACACTCATTCATGGTTATACATGTACATCTGGTATACACATATAACACATACAAGGTTACCCATAACATGAACATACATTCTCTCACACACTGAACTCATGGATACACAGACACACTCCACTCTCACCACTACCCCTGGTAGATACAGCTCTTATATATGAAGCTGGTCACAGTTGGGACACGGAGACCTAGGGTACCCCTCCCATGAGGATTGTTCTCCAGGAAGTCTCCTATAGACACAGGTCTGAAGCAAAGAAGGATAAGCAGGCTTTGGGGCCCAAGTAGGAGGCAGCGTGACCACCAGAGACTCTCTTTAGGATCAGTGCTCTGAGAAGACAGGTAAAATGTCAGTTAGAGAACTCCCTGCCCCTCCCAAGAGCAAGGATACTGTGGAGGTGTCCACTGTAGGCCTGAAGGGACTCTTGGAGTACTCCTGCCCCTACTCATTGGAACTGTTCTGTGGTTTGGGCCACCCAGTCTGTGGCCACGCTACAGCTACTGACAAGATGGAGAAAAAGTAGGTCAAAGTGAACCCAGAATGCCATATTTCTCCTCAAAAGAAGCTGGCTCTGTAACACTTGAGTATGACACATCATGGTCAGGCTGGCCATGATACTTTGTCTTGGTGGCCAGGGTAGCTAAGATAGGGATTCTTTTCTTTTCCTCCCCCCCTTCCTTTTTTTTGAGGCAGGGTTTCTCTGTGTAACATCTCTGACTGTTCTGGAATTCACTATGCAGACCATGCTGACTTCGAACTCAGATCCGCCTGCCTTGCCTTCTGAGTTCTGGGATTTTAAAGGTGCGCCACCACTGCTCAGCAAGGATTCTTATTCTGTATGTAAGTGGGGCCATCCTGATGCAGCGGCCTGTAACAAGGAGTGAGTCTGCTAGAGTGAGGTGCTCCAGCATGAAGCACTAACACCACAAGCAGCCAGCACAGGCCCTTTCACCCTGAGTCAGTCTGGCAGGGACAGCTGACATAGACAGTTCTCCTCAGAGTACACGCCAACACCCGTGTGTTTACTGTAGGGGAAACTAGCAGGACT